AAAATACATGAACCTCTGTAATGGAGAGAGGAAGCATTCTTCCTATAGGAAGATAAAGATGCATTTAAAAAAAAAAAAACCAAAAGCTGCCTGATTCATATTGACCTGAGAGACAGAGTGAATCCGATGGAGCCAGCCTGGCCCCTTAGGAAAACTTGAGGCTGTTCATTATGTCCCAGGATGAGCTCACTGGCTGGTTAACTCCATCCTCGCCGCTGGTGAGTGCTCGTCTGCTGCAGCGAAGCCTTCGGTGAGGATGGCACGTGGCAGGTTTGCACGCTTTTCCCTGAAAATACGGACCGCAGGGTTTTCTCCTTGAGTACAGTAAGAGGTGTTAAAAAAGCTGCGCTGAAGAAGGCTTTAATAATAGTTTTAATTATTTTCTTTTGATCTCAGCTTTCTTACTTCATTTCTAAGCTCTGGACAGTTAGATCAGTCTGTCCATCACTCCTGCCCTTCCATCTGCGCTAAGAAATGGAAAACAACCAGGAGAAGACAGCAAGCCCCTTTGTAGTTACCAGGAGCATAAGGTTTTTGGGTTCCCTTGCAGGAGGGTCGATCTGTGGGTGTACAGGCAATATAGAAAAGATTAAGACCTAATAGACCTGTTGAAACCAGCTCGGTACCGAGCGAAGGGTTGAGAGCCTGTTGCAACCTCGTGTGTGCTCCGGTCAAGGAGCTGGGACTATCTGGAGAACTCAGGAGAGGTTTCCATACGCTCTCGGCACGGGATGGAGGAGGGCTGGGGGTCTCCATCCCTGCAGCAGGATCCTAACAATAAAGCAGCAGTTCCATACTTCCCCGCCAAGCCCAAATCTCACTGAGGAGGGGGTTTCTCGGCCGAGCTTTGAGCTCACCAGGGTGTCAGCAAAGCAAGGAGTTTGCTTGCGAAAGAACGGAAATCCCTTGGCAAGAGCTGCCATGTGAATTTTGGAAAACAGACCTTCTTTTCCAGAAATCTTGCCCATATGTTGCTTTTTCACACTTAAACCATGAATAATGTGGATTTCCTCCCCTGTCCAGCACATAGCTTCCTTTGGCCCCCAATACACTTCTGCTCAGAGTCTGCTACCTATTTTTTTATTAAGAAGAGCGTGGTTTTCATCCAGGAATGGAAGAAAAAAGGGAATGAAGATGGCAAGTCTTTATCTGGTTCCACCTCGCACTCAAACAAAGCTGGATGGAGGAGAAGGACTCAGAAACGAGCCCTGTGGTTTCTTGTGACGCCATGTGCTGTCCCTGCAATTACAGGCGTCGTGTTTGCAGCTCCCAAACAGACTCACCTCCGTTCGGAAATGTTTCTGATGTTCTGTAAACTTGCTCTAATTTCCAGCTGAATTTTTAGCCAGTTTGTCCCACTTGTTCTCTTGCCAGAGCTGTCCATTAACCTAAACACCACTCAAGCCTTGCCTGGTTTTAATTTTGCTTCCTATCTTCCTGAAACCATCAGGTGCCACAGATTTTTTGCCGAGAGCTCACCCCTTTTTGGCTAAACCAGCCCCAAGCATCAGATTTGCAGCAGAAGCCCTTGCATCAGCTCCCGGCTCACGCACAGCCAGGCCAGAATTGCCCTTGGCATTCCTAAAAAGCCAAGTTCTTCCTTGCAAATCAGTTTATTCCAGCTTCTTATAGATTAGCTGGAGCTGATAAACTTGGCATTACGAACCACTCGCAGGTATTGTCCCTTCCCTTGTCAGTTCTGGCCAAATCACAAGAGATCTGCAAAGATTTACAGAAATCTGGTCGACTGTGATTTTTCCCTGCCTCCTGCCAGCTCTTCTTGCCAGTTGGACCACTTGCCTGGTCATCCTCCGAGCAGAGTGAGTCAGCTTGGCAGAAAATTAATTAATAAAATATTCCAAGCCAGTCCCAGCATGGAGTCTCCACCCTGACCCAAACCAGACCCTTGGCTCCTAAAATCTGGCTCTTCCCAATCCCATCCTTACCGAAACACCCTCCACCAGTTCAGCTTGGATAGTGAAGTGCCCTAAAATGCGATTTGGAAGTTATAGCCATCCCCAGAAGTCCCGCTCTGCTTGGGTGTGCTGATGTTCAGAGAGCTCCAGCCGCCTCCATCCCCCTGGGATGTGTCGCTCCTTCTCTGCAGCTCATTCATCGATGGCAGAAGAAGCCTGGATGAGCACTTTCCCGCCGACGTGCCACTCCTAATCAGCTCAGATGAGATGAGAGGGGCACTGTGCTCTGGCAACCAACAGTTTTTGTCCAGTGGGCTCATTATGGGATGGAGGACACCACGGGAGATAACGAAGGAGCGACGCAAGGGGATCTGTGTAATTCCTCCCGCCCCTGAGCGTCCCCAGCCTCCTCCTCCAGCTGTGATGAATCCCATAGGGAAGGATCCAGCCTTATTTTGACTGTGGTTTCCAGGATGGCATCTCTGTCTGGGAAAGATTTACGGCAGCGCTTATGACAGGGGGAGAAGAGTGATTAGATCAGGCCCCGTCGATGTGTCGTGGCGAAAGACCCGCTTTACAAGGAAATAAACTTAAGCAATTAACTGGGGAATTAAGATTTAGCGCACGCTACGAGCAGCAGGCGTGTGTAAAGGAGACAGCTGTTAAATTTAGTATGTGACAAAGTCATGCGAGCGCTAACTGGATTACTGGCATTTATTTGGGAATACTTATGTATTTTATTATGCAACGTATAGATCACCATAATTCTGCTTTTCACTCCGTCGGCGCCTCTCCTCCAAGCATCTTAGAGAGCATTACAAACAATTAAGCCTGCCTGCACCTCTGCACAGCGCTCGACGTTATATCCGCTTTGTGAGTATTGAGTATATTTCGGATCGGAGGTGGCTTAATTGATGTGATTGATTTTTAACCCTTGCCAGGCCAAAGCCCCTAGTTGCTGCTCTTCCTGGGCTCATTGTGTAGGATGAACTAGTCCAGAAGTTGCTGGAGTGAGTTTTCCCAGGATGGAAATTCATCTGACCCCACAGGGATGGTAATTTTGACCCATTTTGCTGAAAAAAGGGAAAGTGAGTAATGATGGAGAGAGGAGGATGGCTTGGGTCGTGGCTCCACCTATCCTCTTCCAGGATGAAGTTCCTGCTCTGCAGACACCTTCATGTGTCCCCAGGACCCTTGGAAGTGGCACAAGCTGCTTTTCAGCACTTCCAGCCTCCTTCCCTGGCAAGAAGCGACAGATAACTGCCTCCAGTCGCATCTCCGGGGAGGAGTTTAGGGAGGCAGCGTGTAATCCTGCCTGCTGAGTTTGGTCCAGACACTCTCAGATGTTATTAATCCTTTGTATCAGGCCAGCGGGGACCGGCAGCCTGCTCTAGAAATGTGCTGCAGGATGGGAGGGACAGTCCTGAGCAGTTTTCAGTCCAAGGAGAGATGGCAGAGGGATGGATGGATGGAGAATCTTCAGGAGCCAACATCCAGACCACTGGGAAGCTCCTGTGGAAGATGCCAGTCATTTTAACAACCTCAGAGAGTCAGCATCTTGATGTTAAGCCTCAGGGGGCACCATCCTTGGCATGGGGTGGTTTAATCGGTGGGTCTGACACCCCAGCCTTTTCCACCGACCACCTTTGTGCCAGTTTGCACTTCTTAGCCCAGCAGTTTACTTGGAGCATCCCTGCTTTTCCTGAAAGAGCCGAACTGGGAGATACCTGCCAGGGGATGGGGCTGCAACATGCTTGTCACCACCTGCAGCCCTACGTGAGTGTGTGCAACCGGTTTTTGGTTGCACCGGTCATGGAGGACCTGCGGGACCTGCAACAGCATCTCTGCAGCCCCTCCGCCACCTGCAATAGCTCTGGGATAACAGGTCGTACCGCTCCCTCGGCTACTCCAAAGCAGCCAGTTTATATAAATAAAGCACTTATTAGAGCAAAGACAGCTTGTCAGCACTTAAAAACAAGTGACAGGTCGGCTGCGGGAGCAGGGACCAGGCGTCTCGCTGGGGCTCGGAGGCGACAGCACCCAGACGCGCGCACACCCTGTTTCGTGTCCCCGGCTTGTGCCGCACGATGCAACGCCAGGCACGTTACTAGCCCTATTTTCCATTTATAGGAACCTGTCAGAAATGGCACTCCTCTCCGAGCAGATGTCGAAAAATTAGAGGGAATTCAGAGAGCGGCAGGAAAAAAAAAAATGATTAAAGGAGATGGAGGGCCTGATTTTGGAGGGAAAAGAAATCAGCTGAGCTATTTATAATGCTGCCCACACTGGGGTGGGGAGGAACAGGCATTTTTTTAGAGTGCCTCGATAGCTCAGCTGAGGGGAAGGGGCAAATCCTCCCAAGGATGCTCGCAGGAACGCCGCGGAGGGGCTGTGTAAGAGGGCGTCAGTCCTGGGCGACGGGATGAAATCCCATCAAACACAAGTGTCTGGGGAACCGCCGGTAGCGGGTGAGTGCAGGGGGCAGGCGCTCAGCGAGAAGGAAAGAAAACGCCCCGATAAAGGTGCGTGAAGGGGTGCGAGAGGCAGTCCCGATGGCAAGCCCCCGCGCCTACCTCTGCGCTCGGCGACACACCGCCTTTGTATTCACATCCAGTGTTTTACGCAAAACGTGCGGTGGCGGGGGTGGAAATCTTCGCTTTTTCATCCAAAAGCAAACATTTTGGGTTAAATAAACCCGACTCACTGGCTTTAAATGCAGGCCTGCAGCCCCGGAGGCTCATGGGAGAGGCACGCAGGGGTTGCTGCAGCCGTCTGCCGGGCTGGGGTCCCCTGCAGAGGGATGCGTGGTGCTTCAGGGTGGTCCATCCCAGGGGGAACACAGCATCCCGTCCCTATTTCCAAATTGCCTGGGCAATATGCAGACTGAGAAGCAGTTAATTAATGCGTTATCGATGTAACATCACCCGTTCCCCAACGAGCCCCAACTCCCAGCAGCGGCTCCTCCGTCGCAGCCAAAGGGGCTGGGAGCAAAGAGGTTTCATGGGGCAATTTGGGTTTCTCCATGCCTTGGTCTGCAGAGGGAAGATGCCTGACGCGGTCCTTGTCTCTCTGGTTGCCTTGCAGGACCTCTCACTCCAGGGCCAAGGCGGAGGCGGCTGTGACGGCGGCGCAGAAAGCTCAGGAGGAAGCACGGATCGCCAGGATCACTGCCAAAGAGTTTTCGCCTTCCTTCCAGCACAGGGAAAACGGTCAGTGCGTGATGCCGGGCCGGGCCGGCCCTGTGGACGTGGCTTTCGCCCCATGCTGCTTGCTGCCCCGCTTGGCCCTGCAGAGACCCCAAACCTCAAAAAATGAGCCCTGCGTGGAGGCTAGGTGTGTGCCCGCAGCTCCTCGGGGTGGGAAACTACCCCGTAACACCACTTTTTGAGGGTTTTAGCACAAGGCTTTCAGTATTCAACACTTCCACCCTGTGCAGTCCTGCCTTTACAGGGATCTCCCCTTTTCGCACCAAAACACCCCCACTTTTTAAATCCGCAGTCCTTGATGGCTGCACAGAAAAGACCCAATGAGAGCTCCAAAAGTAAGAACTGATTCTACCCCCACCGTTCCTGATTCCTTCTGAGCGCCTGGGCTTGCAGAGGCACGTTGGTACCTCCCCCTGCGCTTGGGCACGCAAATCGGTCGCGTGTGCGTGCAAAGGTGTCGGGCAAATGCGTGTTAGGGGTTCTCCAGCTGGCTCTTCCCTCCCTCCATCACCTTCGACATTTCTTTCCGGTTCGTCCGAATCTCTGCTCGCTGACAAGCGGCTCAGCAAAGGCCCAGGGTGGAGGCAGCTGAAGCGAAGCCGGGGTCGGGCAGGGGTCTGCAGCCGGCAGGCGCGTGGGGACGATTTGCCCCGCGAAGGCTGCGCCTGTCCCGGAGCGAAAGGTGCTGCTGTGAGTGGGAGTGGAAAGCTCCAAGTCCCCGCGGCAATAATTAACATGGTAATTAATATATGTGAATGGTTTTATTCAGAAGTTTTCCTGCACCGAACCCTCATTAGGAGGCGTCTATCATTATTTTCTCCCCCTTCCAGCTCTCTAACTGAAGATTACTCATTCGGCTTAATTGCTCCAGGGGCTGGTGCTGGTGACTCACGGTTGGCGGTGCCGTTCCCCGAGGCCGGGGAAAAGGGATCGTTGCATCTTTTGGACCAGCCAGCCCGTGCACGAGTCCTCACTTAACCACGGAGGCTGCGGGGGCAGCTGGGGGCATCCCACGGCTCAGCGGCGATGAGCCAGATGGGGTTGGAGCTCCGGCTCCAGCCCTGACCCTACCTGAGCTGAGCCACGGCCACGCGCGGGTGGGTGTTTCGGGGGGCTGAGCCCCTTGCAGCCGAGCTGCGCCAGCTCTCTGCTCGTTCAAACACCCCTCAGCACTTCTCCTCCTGCAGAAGGCCAGTTTGTGTGTCGGAGATCTGAGCTTTTCCGCAGGGCTGTGTGGTCCCAGGGGCTTCTTCAGCCCTGAGATATTCCTCATCTCCATTTCCTCTTGCCAAGAGACTTTTTGCTGGTTTAAATCACCTCTTGGAAAGATATTTTTAGGTAATACATTTTTTACTAGCTTCTAGACAGGGACATAGTGCTTGGCTTGTGTTGGGGCTTGTGTTTCTGGTGCTCGCGTCCGGGTGGGTTGTGTGTGAGTAAAGGGGGGGGGTAAGAGTTTCCACTTAGAGCACATTAAAAAACAAATACACCATCCAAGTTGTGTCGGGAAACTTGGGAGCATCCACAGACTGAGTCAGGCAGATAGAGCTGCAAGCAGCCATGTCACCCCACAGACCCCATAAACCCGGGCTGCAAACAGCCAGGGGGCAGCTGGCAGGGGGGGAGTGACAGCGGGGACAGGGCAAGCTGCTGCCACACTGCCCGGTGCTGCAGGGGCTCTCTGTGCCCACCTTGCGCAGCATCGGAGGTGCTGGATGCGCTAAGTGCCGTGGGTGCTGTGTAGCACCCACCTTGCGTGGCGCTGCGGGTGCTGGACGTGCCCACCTTGCAAGGTGCTGGGGGTGGCAGTGTGCCACCCACCTCCACAGCATCACAGGGGTCTTCATTCCCGCCTCAGCATCAGCCCCGTGGGTATCCCAGCCTGAAGCATCCTGCAGCACAGCCCCAGCTGGAACAGACACGGGCTCCGCAGGCACCTGCTCCAGCCTCAGCAACACCCGACACCACAGCACTGCCTCAAGGAAAAAGCAAAAATACCCCGTCTCAGTACCCCGTGCCACCCCCTCCGCTGTGGTTTACCATCTCTGTCTGCCAGGGGGGCGGGATATTCCACATCCCCATGGTTGCAGTTGTGCATCCCCAGTTCATGGCTCTGCCGGATGCCCTGGCCATGGCTGCCAGCAGCATCAGCCCACAGGCTGGACGGTGCCGGTGAAGTGACTCCCTCAAGGTGATGGCACCGCTCCCAAATCCTGTACCTGGGTCCCCAGGGGCACCGCAGCACCCGGGGGCACATGCTTGGCTGGGCACGGCTGCTTCAATCCTGCTGCAAATCCAGATTTGGTGCTCTGCATCCTCCTTCGCGCTCTCACAACCGTTCTTCCAGGAACATCACGTGCTCCGGGACTAATTTTAGCTCAGAATAATTGTTGCACATCCTCGGGTGTCGAAAGCCGGCAAGACGGCACCGTGCATCTGTCGAGTTCCTCCGCAAGGAAGTGCCTGCATCCCTGCGGGGCTCCGGGGCTGGAGGGACAGCCGTGCCCCAGCATCACTAGCTCCTACTTGACGGGAGCCCAGCCAGGGGCTGCAAAAAACAGGGAATTAACCCATGGAGAGGAGGAATTAGCTCAGCTTGTTGCAGGACCAGGTGGGAAGGATGCAGGGCAAGAGGCAACAATGTGGTCCTGGGTGTGGGTCTCTGGGGTGAGGATGCTGGAGCATCACTGGGCTTTCCCACCTCCGTCGTGGGGCTCGACAGGGCCAGGGAAGACTGGGATTGGAGCAGAGGGTGTAGTGAGGCTGTGGCTGCTTGTGGTGCCACTGGAGATTGGCTTTGGGGTTGTTGGACATGGTGGGATGCTTTCAAGTCCCTGTACCTCCAGCCTGAGGGGAGCAGAGGCACCCCAAGTCTTGGGTGAGCCCGTTTCAATAACTGGCTTTACAGCTTTCTCATACAAAGCCATGTATTCCCTCCCTGCCTCAGTTTCCCATCCGTGATATTGGGGAGTGTCTGGAATGGGAACATCTGAACAACAGCCGCGAAATCAGTCTGTATTCTTCCCCAGGGACAGTTATTCTGCATGAACACGGAGGGGTGAACCCCCCTTTCTCCTTCACCACGATTTCCCACAAGCACGAGGATTGCTTGAGGGCCTCAGATAAATCCCGGGGGGTTCAGGCTCCCACAGACAAACAGGAACACAGGGAACGGACTCAGACTGAACTATCTGAGCACTGTCCCAAAACACAAAGACATTTTTCTGTGGCAAATAATACGAAAAAATTGACAGTCATTAGAAAACCAATTTCCCATTGAGAAATCGCTTCTGTGGGAAATTTCCAGGCAGCCTTGTTACTATTTACCTTCCGTGCTGGTGCTTCAGTGGGGACATCCATCCCCACGCTCCCGGCGTCCCCTGCATGTATCCGGACCACGGCGCGGTGGGACACAGGGATGGCTGCGGGCGAAGGCACGTCCCGGCAGCAGCAGCTCCCCAAGAAGATGCGGATAAGGAAAATTACTCAGCAGAAGCGAAGAGATTAGAGCAGGCGCTTCAGAGCATTTATTTTTAAACGATGGTAAGAAATTGAGTTCTTCCTTTTTGAGACTCATTTCTTGTCTAGCCATGGCAATTGCAATTAGACGCATTTCAGGGGCATTAGGCAGTTAATATATTTATCAAATTATACACGTAATTTAGCATGGCTTTAGCTGGGAACAACTATGCCTTGAGAGGGTAAAATGAGAATTAACCACTATTAGCTTGCACCCCCTTGAAATAATTTGGTGTTTCATCAATGATTAATAAGTTGTAGGGTTGGGTTTTTTTTTTTAATTGTCCGGAGAAGCGAAGTGTTTCTCGCCAGTCCCCGTCCCCACCTCCCTGTCCCCAAGGAGATGTAAGATGATCTTATCTTTAAAGATACCGTGTACATCGTGCTCACATAGCCCTGAACACGCTACCCTGCTCCTGCCTAAACGTGTGCGGCACGGCTGCCTGCGTGCTCTCCATCACACGCTGCCTCCGGTGCTGCCTGCGAGGGATCGGGATGGGCTCAGGGCTGGGACGGGGGGCTGAGTGGGGACATCCCTGAGCCCTGCTCAGCTGTATGGGGCAGGAAGGCTCTTTGCTATACGGTTTGTGGGGTTTTTTCTTCATGGGAGACGCTGCCACTGCAGCACATCTGTCCCAGTGAGACCATCTCCCTGCAAAAACATCGGAGTGAGATTCCTGTGCTGAATTCTGCAAAGCCGATGTGTTTCCTGTCCGGGGAGGGGTGTGAAGGCAGAAAGCCAGGCACAGGGTGATCCCAGCACCAGCACAGGGAACAGGATGAGCCGTGGGCTGTCACGGCTGCATCTTGGATTTCTCCTCGCATGTCCGGAACTGGGAGCTGATGGATAAAGACGGTTAGATGGATCCCCTAAAAACGTCAGTGGGTAGGAATGGTGCCGTGGGGCAAGACCGGCTGCAAGCTGCTGCACCCCTGCAAGGGAAGCCGGGCTGTCGGCAGGGCGCAGGCAGGGCCCCAGCACCCACTCCTCTGCCTGCACAGGGCTCCCAGCAGCTCGGCACCGTAAGCGGCTTCCCCACACGGCTGCGGCCGCGAGTCCTTGTGCCACAGGCACGCGGTCCCCCACGCGTGTCCCCAGGCAAGCAGGATGCAGGGCAGGGGAGAACCGCGGGTGCCGAAGGAGCAGCCACCCCTACACCTGGTCGGACGAGCTGCGTGGTGCCAGGCGGTTTCCGAAAGGGCTGGTAGCTCTGGGGTTTGCAGGAGTGGAGAAACACCACCTTAGTGCTGAATGCCTCTGTCTTAACAACACCAGCAGCTGATGCCAAACTGTTCCCTGTGCCGGGCTGCAGCCTCTCGCACCGCGCTGCTCTGCGGATGCTGGAGGGGGGGTAGTGGATTTGGTGTAAATCCAAGGATGCCTTTTCTCTCCGTCTAACAGCAGCAGCTGTTTATTGTGCTACGCCGCTGCTGTCCTGATCTTGCCCTGTGGTTCCCCTGCCATCCGACGCTCTCGGCCCTATTCTTTGACATGAAAAACCTGGTGGGTGCCCACAGAATAGAAATAATTCTGTTGCGTTTCTCTCTCCCTCTCTCTTTTCCCTTAACGACTCCACAAAAAGGGCTCGAATGCCAGAGACCGAAGCGCCAGAACTCGAGCGATGACATTGAGGTCCTCTCCACCGGGACACCTCTCCAACAAGAGAGCCCCGAGCTGTACCGCAAAGGGACCACCCCGTCCGACCTGACTCCCGACGACAGCCCGCTGCAGAGCTTCCCTGCCAGCCCCTCCTCCACGCCACCCCTGGGTCCTTCCTGCAGGAACAAGAGCGCTCACTTCTCCAGGCAGGTCTCGGTGGACGAAGAGAGGGGTGGGGAGATCCAGATGTTGCTGGAGGGACGCGGCGGGGATTACCTGCGCCCCAACAGCTGGAGCGAAGAGAAGGTCGGTGGGACTCGCGGCGTGAGAAGCGGGACGCTGCGCAGCGGTCAGCTGGGGTCGGCCTCCGTCCCTGAAGACTACAGAGGTCGGAGCGGAGGACACAAACACTCGGCCTCCAACCACAAGCAGAGAGAGAGGTGGACAGATTCCCCAGCCACGGTTTCATGGACTTCGCACCACAGGTCCCATAACCACAGCTCAGGGAGCTCCAAACTGCTTGAGCTGGATGAGGAGAAGATGAGCAATTATGAGATGGAGATGAAGCCCCTCATGAGGATGGATTCTTATATGCAAGAGATTCACACCCAAAAAAGACACTATAGCAAAGGAGGGCCCTGCAGGAGCATGGCTGATGACCACCGCGGGGAAGACCGGGGCTTCGGGGTTCAGAGACTGAGGTCTAAGTCCCAGAACAAAGAGAATTTCAGGCCAGCTTCCTCTGCCGAGCCCACGGTGCAGAAACTGGAAAACCTGAGATTCGGGGACAAAGCTGAACCTCGGCTACTAAGGTGGGACTTAACCTTCTCCCCGCCACAGAAATCCTTACCTGTTGCACTAGAATCTGAAGAGGACAGTGGGGATGCGCTCAAATCCAGCACGGTAAGTTGGCAAAACTGCGCGTTGAGATCTGGGCGAGAAGCCCGGTGCAGAGCCGTTGCGGTGCCGCGGCTGAGCGGACAGGGAGGTTGCTCTGCCAGCGGCGTGGCGTTTTCTCCAGTGGGAACGGCGGGTTTTCCACTGGAGGATGTGAGCAGCAAGGCTGAGTTTGTTTCGCAAGCAGGGGCCAGCAATAAGAACACATTATTGCTGGGATTTTGAGCATTCATCTAGTGGAAAAGCTCCAGGAGTAGGCAAGGTGTTGGTGATGCTTCCGTGTGCTTTGGTTACGCCAACAGAACGTCACGCTGGTCCAAGAGCGTGGTGGGACCCCGCTGCCACGTCAGTGCTTAAATCCTGGTAGCTGGGCATGGCACGGCACTGCCTGTTGAAGCAGTGGCCTTGTCACCACGTTGCGCCGGAGACCTGACCCAGGTGGAGGAGGGAACCGTGGTCATGGGGCAGGGGACACTGCCACGGGGTTGCGTTCCTGGGCTGACTACTCACGGTTCAGGTTGTCCTGCACTGAGCGCACAATGCGATACAGCTCGGGTGGTTTGGGGTGCGGATGCGGCGGAGCCAGGAGCGGGTACAAGCCCCTCGGTGGGGCGATGCGATGCAAAAGGGTTTTGGCAAACTGCAGATAAGAGAATGCAATTCAGGAAGGATACCGAGGCAGGGAAGGCAACGGGCGAGTACAGCAAGGGCAGTGGGCTAGGCAGGAGCTTCGCAGAGCCAGGTGATAGAGCTCATCACAACGTCAGTCAGTGCTCCCGTGAAGTGTTCGGGCTAGAGAGTCACAGACTTATGGAATGGTTTGGGTTGGGAGGGACCTTAAAGATCATCCAGTCCCACCCCCTGCCGTGGGCAGGGACACCTTCCACTAGACCAGGTTGCTCCAAGCCTCATCCAGCCTGGCCTTGAACACTTCCAGGGATGGGGCATCCACAGCTTCTCTGGGCAGCCTGTCCCAGTGCCTCACTGCCCTGGTGAGAAAAGGAGATGGAGCTATCTTCAGATACAGAAAACTGCTGCTGCAGAGTGGAAGGGGCTAAACTGTTCTCAATGAACAGAATGAATGGGCTTAAAGTCAAGCGTCAGCAGCAGTGATTATCCATTAGCCATTCCTAGTGAGTTGAGGGCTGGAATAAATTGCCTGGGGAGGGCAGGCTGGGAGAGGGACGAAGACCTGGTTGGACATCTGCAGATATAACTTGGACTGAGCTGAACGTGCTCTGGGAGAAGGCTGAGCTGTGTGATTTTCGGGTCCTTCTCACCCCTGGTTTTTGACCATCCCCAGACTTACACTGAGAGCAGCTTCCTCACTTCTTCTCCCCGCTGGTTTGGCATTGCCAGGAGAGGTGATGGGGGTCTGTCAGGAGCAGTGGGGAAGCCACCACTGCTCCAAATTGCCTCTTGTCGAGTTAGTGCCAAACAGGGGGCAGGGCTGGAGAGAACCCACAGCTCAGGCCAGACCTACACAGGAGAAATGGAAAATCTGTGACTCTCAGGTGGTGACATTTCAGGCTCCGGCAGAAGACAGGAGCTACATCTCCCTGTCAGGGTAGCAGGAGATGATGCTTGGCTGCTGGGGAGACAGGGATCATGAAACTCAAATGACATCTGTCAGTCAAAATTTCAGGCTAGAGGCATCATAGTCTGTAAAGTGGGATTATTGTTGCCATACCTACAGCATCCTGACTCCTCCAGCCGCCTGTCGGTGTCGGCAGCAGCAGCCACGGGATGAGAGCGAACGGGTTGGAGAGGGAGGCAGCGGTGACATCCCTGAGCAGCCGGGATGCAGGAAGGACTAAACTACAGCCCTGCCACAGTTTCCCTGCTGTGGCTGTGGATAAATCACCCCCACACACACAGCCCTGTAGCTTTCTGGCTTCCTAGTCATCTCGCAGGCTTCGGCGCAGGCTCGGAAGCACCCACACAGCTTGTAAGAAGAGCTGAACACGGCATGTTCACTGGTGGACTGCACCGTAGGACGCATCTTGCCAGCTTAGAAAAAAGACAGAGCTCCAAAAAGAGCTGCCAGCCCTGAGCACACCCCGCCGAGCAGCCAGGCGGGTGCTGAGGCCAGAGCGGTCCTTACCTGCTCGCAGGCACCTGGGAAGCACCAGAGAAGTGACAGGGAGCATCAGGAGCCCGACAGGCTCTCGGAGGGGGAAAACAGCAGCAGTCATTGCAGGGACATCAACCCTTTGGAATTCTGTGGGACTCGCAGATGGTCAAGCACCTTTGATAACGCGACCTCCTGCGGCAGCAGGGATCTGGGAGAGATGGGGTGAAGTCCCGAAACGTGGCATGAAGGAGCGAAACGGCCGTTTCTCCTCGCTGGAGCCTGGCGTTCCTCGGGGAGACCTCTGGCACAAGAAATCCTGGTGTCTCTCCCCATCCAGCCCGAGTCAGACGCGCTCCCAAGGCTCCCACCTCGCAGGCAGACCCCAGCCAGAGCCCCCAAACCCCCCGCCTGGAGAGGAGGGCTTGAGCTGCACCGCTGGAGGTCAATAGCCACGTGGCATTAGTGGCTATTTCGAGTGAGTCCCGGGCAGCCGCGAAGGGGCACAGCCTGCATGGAGAGGCACACGGAAAAGCCATTAGGATGCACACCATACTTTTTAAGTGCTGTAGCTGGGAAGCAGCATGTTCAGTTTTCTCACATTCATAACCGAGGGTGGAACAGATGGCGAAGGTTTGGGAGGAAGCTAATGTAATACAGAGGAAGAGATAATATGTGGATTTAAATAACCTACAATGCCAGCAACAATTTGTTCTAGCAAGAAATGCACTGTGTTAGCAGGGTTTTGTTCCAGGGGCCTGGCGGGGGGGGTGGGGGCCAGTGTTGGTCGGACGGGAGCAGAGGAATGGGAGGTGCAGTGATTTGTGTTCCCCCCTCCTACCTAACGCCGTGACCTTGCCTGCACCTGCCATCAAGGATCTCAAAGCATTTCAAACTTGAGCGAGTCCCTGAGGAAGAGGAAGGGAGAGCTAAGGGGGAAGGATTTATCCCACATAGTGAGTCCCTGAGGAAGAGGAAGGGAGAGCTAAGGGGGAAGGATTTATCCCACAATCCCCACATCCACCTCCCTCTGCGCAAGCTCAGGAACACGGGGCACTTGCACGCTTAGTCCTGCAAAAACCCCACTGCGTCCTGCTCACGCTCCAGCTCTTTTCACACAGAATTAAGGCTCCTCAACTTCCCCAAAGCCCCATTTCTCATGCCAGCCTGAAGTACCCCTCCCTTCCCGACTCCCAGCAGCTCGCCTCTGGCGTGCAGGCGAAGGACACCCCCCGGGAAAGGCTGGCCGGGCGCACGCGTGTGTGCCCACGCCGTTTCAGCTTGCGTGACAGCCTGCCTCCCTGTGATCCGCAGCACTGCCATCTGCGAAGCTGCTCACCGAAATGGGCATTTCTCATCCCCCAGGCAGCTGGGCTGTGTCAGAAAGGTGCCTGCCAGTGACCGAGGAGGATGCTCTTAGCTGAGGAGGGCTATTTTTGCCCTACCTGGAGTATGCCTGCGCGGAACGGTGGTCACCCTCACAGGTTGGCTTGTTTTAAAAATAATCTGTCATAAACCAGCTCCACGTCAATGAGCCTGGTGGGTTGGCTCTGCGTTGGGAGTGCCAGCTCCAGCTTTGAGAGCAGGCACACCTCCGGCAGTGCTCGTGGGAACGGGATAGGGATGCAGGTCTTGGAAAAACGCAGTCTTAAAACTATCACTTCCCTCCCCACACCTCTTGATCTGTGTCTTAGAAATGAGGTTGGAATGGCTTGGGGGGGGCATCCCTTGGTGTCCAAGCTCTTGCAGTGTGTGCCTGGGGGAGGGATGCAGACCCCTGCAGAGGAGTCAGATGGACAGGTTGCTGTGTGAGCCAAAGGAACTTGGTTTTTCTCAGCTATTTTTCATCAGTCCCTTAAAAAGAGGCGCCCAGAACCCCCCTTCATTGGGGCTGCACATTAGTAATTGAAAATTGCTCCTATAAAGGTCATTTCTTGAGGCCAGCGCTCAATAACATTGATGAAATTCAGCGCTGCGTGCCGTTGGCTATCAGGGGACTTTGGGGTTTCAGGGTCATCAAGCCGGCGCTGCAGTCATAAAAACACTTTAAAATTACATTGAAAGCCACCCGATCTTTCTGTGCCGCTGCGTGCGCTGACCCCTGCACGCTCAGAACAAACTCACATCAGCTGTCAGCGGTCGGGCAGGCGAAAGCGGAAACGAAGGCGCCGGGACCGGTGTCGGCATCGTCGGGTTAAGGGACTTAACGTCACCATCCTTAAAGGCCCACGAGGCGCGAAGCTCAAGCCTGCGCCCGAATGCTTCACAGGTTCCTCGAGCCTTTGAGAAGATCTAAAATGGGAAAGGAAAGAAGGTATCGTTGAGACGCTGGAAAGAGGCTGTCTAAAATGCCAGCAACCCTTTTATCCATCAGCACAAAACACACCACGTTTTTAGCGTTGGGGGGGGAAAAAAAAGAATACATCTCCTTTTCTGCAGGTGCTCAACATCTGCAGCTTCTAAGAGGGCAAAGAAGTGTTTTAAGCGCAGAGGTGCTCAGCATGCCAGCGAGAAGGGCCAGTGTTCAGGCACGAACGGAGCCTGATTCATCGGCCTGTCCTCGTTTAGCAGGAGCAATCGCGGGCATTTAGAGGAAGACTTCTAGGGACACGCTGCGGTCTCACTAAAGGCACCCTGGAGATGTGAGTAGGCTCGAGACTCGGCCCTTGAAAAATCCCTCTCTCTCATCTCACTGATACAGCCTGATGGTAGGGCAGCAGCCAAAAAAAAAAATCCACCCCAGTCACCCGTGACGTTTTCTTCCATTGTCACATGCTGCCGGAGAAAATCTCAGTGATCTCCGCTGTTTGCTAAGGCTACAGCTTCTTCCTGCAGCCAAACCAGGGGAAGCAGCTGCAGCAAGCGGAGTTTGCAAGGCATCTGCTGGGTTAGGGACCCCAGAGAGACCCCCCTTGTCCCCTCCAGGTACCCGCCG